AACCTGGGACCAGGGCTGGCCCGTCGCACTGGCGTTATAGATGTTCGCCTAGGGCGCCAGATCTGTGGAGGCGCTGCGCTGACAGCTCTGGGAGGAAAAAATTAATGTTTTGACCGTTGGTGCTCATCCTAATTTTCGGCCTTGATGTAACAACACTCATAATTAAGTAAAGATAACACCCTTTTCACCCCGGTTACATTTTCCATTTGCCCTGTACGATGGGCGCTTTAGTGATGAAAGTGGGGGATGTTGGCTTATCAGGCGCCCGCAGCTCACAGCCAAAGTGAGAGAGATAGAGAGAGGGGGTGCACCGGTACCGGCGGGGAATGTTGTTAGCTTCTGATGCACTAACGGATATAAGAAGCTGTTTCTACAATAATGTGGAGGGAGAGTTCTGTCCTGTCAGACTGAGAGGTTCAGTGAGGTAAAGGACTCTGAGGGTTTAGATAGTTCACTTTAGTCTAAATTATCTCAGTGAGTCTCAAACGTATTGATCACAATTATGTAAACAAATATTTCCATCTACTTGGAGATTTATGCTTCAAGAATAAGCAAAGGACAAAATTGCCAGAATACATCAATTATATATCTTACATATACTGTAGTCCCAGTACTTAGGAGGATTCAACCAAGCTGGGGAAAATATATACAGTACTCTATATTGGGTGGGTGTTTTCCTAAAATTGATATATAAAATAAATAACCAGATGGGCACTTGGAGACCTCCGCAATTGCCAAATACTCTTACAATGATGATGAAAGGGGAAAATGACCTATTTATCCACATTTTGATTTAAATATGCTCCAAAATTAAACAGGTTCTTCCCTGGCCTTTGCCACACACTTTTGTACCAAGCTCCATAAGATCGGGCAGGCAAACAAAGCAAAAAAACTTCCTTGGAAATAATAAAAATAATAAAATTATTGAAATATCTGATATGAAGAAAAGCTAGTCAATCTTTACAGGTTTAATAACAAGGTGTGTCTGTATCATTTGTTTGTTTATTCGTATCCTTCTGTATAAACAATATTGAATCGATTGCTCTCTGTGTGTGTGTGTGTGTGTGTGTGTGTGTGTGTGTGTGTGTGTGTGTGTGTGTGTGTGTGTGTGTGTGTGTGTGTGTGTGTGTGTGTGTGTGTATGCAGGGAACCTCAGTGATGCCTAACCTGACCTCTGTGCTGTTTGACAAGACTGAATGGGAAACCCCCGACACCTTCAACCCTGAACACTTCCTGGATGCCGAGGGGAAGTTTGTGAGGAGGGATGCATTTTTACCTTTTTCTGCAGGTACATTTCAAACAATGAATTAACTGACCTTTGCAAATTTGAACCACAAGAAAGGAAATAGTTTAGGGTGCAGGAAATGTAAGCGTATAGTTTAGAGTATACTTGGAAATATCATAGATGCACTTGCCTTCATTGTCTTGCTTGTATGCTTGTTTGTTTCTCCAGGAAAGCGTGCATGTCTGGGTGAAGGTCTGGCGAGGATGGAGCTGTTCCTGTTTTTTGTCAGTTTGCTCCAGACATTTTGTTTTTCAACGCTGGATGGAGTTCAGTTGAGTACTGAAGGAATCATAGGAGCCACGCGCACGCCGTACCCCTTTAAGATCTATGCCACAGCCCGCTGAATCCTGCAAACTGTGCTCTACTATAGAGCAAAGCACACATACATACATTTTAACATATGCAACACAAATGCTGCATCTTTGGCTAGTTTTCCTGTCAACACAAAAACAACACATTACCAGCAGAGACAGCATTCAACGGTCCTGTCTACAACATGTGTCTGAAACACGAGAGCTGATGGTGACACTTAGATTAACCCATTATCACGAGTGAAATGTGATACATTTACATCGGTCCAATATCCAGAGTTATGTACCCAGCATACAGCACTCTCCAATATACGCCTATCATTACTCACTTTATATGATTTCAGGTGGACTATTGCAACTATAAAAATAAATGTTGCTACAGAAATGCCAGATCTTTCTTTCATCAGGGTTGTTATTAGATTTCAATGATTGGATCTATCCTGATGAAGTTCATTTAGAAAATTGCTGCATTATTTTCACATGCGGAGGTGCTGATGATATGGAAATCTTATTAAGAGAACACAGTCAAATGTTTAACATCAAAGTGAAAACATTTTATCCATGTTTATCATCTTTGCACCTAAACTGAGATTGAGGCAATTTATTGTAAAACACATTTTTAGAAAAGGAATTTATTTATTTATTCACAAGAAAAACCAAAGGCTTTAAATTTGAACTCTTTAAATTCGTGAATATTCATAATGCTTTCCTCTTGATTAACACACACACACATACAACAATGCACAACAGTAGTTTCTGTGCAGCGCTACGTTTGATTGTCCTTCTTATTTTCTTGCACACTGCTCCTAAATCAGAATATTTCACTGCAAAACATAAAATAAAAAGCGCTTTGAAATAAATCTAATGATCACAAAAGGAAAAACCATCATAACAGAGTGCCTCTTTATAGCAAACACACACAGTGACAAGGCAATCAACCCACAGCTAACTCATGTTGAGAAACTAGTGCAGTTAAACTTAAGACCCCAAGGGCCAATAACCCAAAATATCTATATTAAATATCAAAGAACACACCTGCTCCTCACTCTGAGCTTTTACAGACACTAAAACATCCATGATTAAATTGATATCAACTACATTTCTCAATTTAAAATTTGAAGGAGCTGTATGAAAGCTTAACCTGATTCTTACAACTGGATCAGAAGCTGGTGTTAAAATCACATTTACAACTTGATTTCTCACTACTGAATTAGATTTTCAAAATATTCAGTGAATACAAAGGCCTTACTTACTTAAGGTAGTCAAATCACGCTTTAGGAGTGTAGAAAATACAAGACAAATTCACCAGTCCTGGATTTCTTGTGTATGACTTGTTGTTGCAGCACCTCAGAGGTTCGTTACGTAATAAGATTTATAATATTTTCACATCTTAACATGATGGGCTTGTTGAATTTGAGTAAAAAGTGACTGACTCTTTGATGCTAAACAGCAGTTGGTGGCCAGCACCAAATATAGCAATAATCTTTTCTTGAAAGCACATCTAATCTTTTTTCCTGTAAGCAGGTTACCCACTTGTAAGCATAGTATGATGGTAAAGATTTCCATACATCAACAATCATCTGAAGTCAGTTAGCTTAAGCATTCAATTTACCCTTTAAAAAAACACATTCATATATCTTGGGCTTCAATTCTGAATTATACAGCTAAGCATTCATTTACATTTCTCTCATTCCTGTTCAAGTATACATCATGTCAGGAGACTGAAGGCTAAATTGATTATACATATTATCATGGCAGAAGGGACATATGCTCCACAGGTTGGGACAGTGTGTGTAACTTGTGTGAAGTGAACACAGGTTGTGGGTCCTCCTGCAGTCAGTGTCTTGTGGTACAGTAAGCTAAAGTCTCGGTTAGGTGACCCCATAATATTTTGTCTGATAATGAAGTGCTCATCGATCGTTCGTGACCTCCTCCCGAGTGCTGAGAGCAGATGTGTTTAAGGTCACTTGAGTGCTCACTGTTGGGAGTGAGAGTATTCTTCTGTTTGACTTAAGGTGAGACGTTTGGCTCTATGACACGGTTACTTGGAGGTAGCAGCCGGCACGTTGATGGAGAGCGGCCGGCGGGGAGCGTTTGAGACCTGCCGCTGCTGCGACAAGAAAGACTGTCCGGGGCTCAACACGGAGGAGGTGCAGCCGCCGAGACGGGCCTCCATCGCCAGCTTCTGAAAGCCCAGACTCTGGATGACAACAAAAAACACATTTAAGTGTCAATAATGTCATAAAAAGGCAGGAGAAACACCAGGTAATCTGAATTTGTTTCACCTTGTTGTACCACGCAGTGACAATCAGCTTCTCCTCGTACTCTCTCAGTTTGGCCTGCTCACACAGACGCTACAGAGGCAAAACAATACAACATGAATTAGGTTTGGATCCCATGTCCTTTTTAAACATATTGTATATTCACAGACAAGGAAAACATATTTACTTCCAGGTTGAGAATCTGTTTGTCCCGATCGGCCAACTGGTTCCTCAGAGCCTGGATCTCAGCGGTGGCTGGATTAAGCTTTGGATCCAGTGCTCTTATAACCTACAAAAACAACGTTTTGAAGCCACATTCATTTATTTGACTCAAGGAATAAGACGTTGAAACAAAATACACAAATAATAGAGAAATTACATTAACTTATCACTCACATTGCGAGCTTTCTCCAGGTACATCTTGTACCTCTCTTCCATGGCCCTCATGTCATCGTCCTTCTTCTTCAGAGCAGCCATCAGCTCATCCAGCTTCAGGGCTTTGAGGCAAGAAAGACATTATAAAGTTTCCCTTCAGTCACATTGTGCTGTTGTACATATTTCTGGGGGGACTAGCACTCTACTCATGAGAAGAGAGAGACTCTGACTACGGACAGAATAGCTTATATTTTCCACTCTAGAGGTTGCGGTAGTGGTAACATGTTGGAATTATCAGAGAAAATATTTTTGACTTACAATTCTGAGTGTTGTCAGGCTGCAGGTCCTCCAGCAACTCTTTCTTCTTCATGATTTCGTCCTGAGCCTCGTTCAGTTGGACCCTGAGGAAACAAACGCAGTATCTTTACCTCCCTCTACTGGAGAACATGTATATTCATTTGATTTCTCAACTTTTCTTTAAGAGTTGACACTTTTCATATTTCAAACTTACATGTGGGCATCAAGTTTCCGTTTCAGGTTTGACTGAAAAAAAGATTGAAAAGAGAATGGATTAAAAAGCTTTTTCATAAAATCAATTCATTGCAAAATAAACGCATTAGCAAAAATGAAATGACCTCTAAATGATGTAAACATTTTGAGGGAAAACATAAACTAATGTGATTTCTTTACATGATGCCATCCCAGCACAAAGTCTAATAAGATGAACTCAGTGGGACTCTCCCTCTCTCTCAGCATGGCTCACTCACATCATCAGGTTTGGCTGCCTGACTCTGCAGAGCCCTCTGGAGGTCCTCCACCTGCTGCTGCAGCTCACTCATCCGCTCTCCACTCAATCTGCAGATAACCGTGAAGAGGAAGGAAATATAAAAACAAGAATACGTTTATAAACACCCAAAACGAAAAACAGCCAAAAGTCAATGACTATAAGGTAAAAAAAAGCTTGCTGCTGATTTACTGTATGAAGACTTGTAAAACGCTTAACCTGTTCTCAGTGTCCAGTTCACTGCGTGTCTTATGAGCCTCCTCCAGCTGGGCCTGCAGTGTAGCGATCTTCTCCCCCTCAAGTTCCTCCTGCTGCACTCTCAGCATCTTGTTCTCGTGCTGCAGCCTGATGAACTTCTCTCTGAACAACAATACACACACAAGGTCAATCATCATCACACAGCACACTGAGGAAGGGATGAAGAGTTCTGCATGGTTGAAAACGCATCATTTACCTGTACTCTATGGGTATTAATTCAGCTGCCAGGTTTTCATGGCTGGGGCTGGAAGAAGGAAGAATCCCTGCATAGAGAAAGTATGTGTGCTTTAGAATGAAAAAGGGGCAAAGCAGTTTAATAATTATAATTACTGTCAGATTTAACATCGCAGTGAGATACCTGCTTGTGAGAGCTGGACCTGCTGAGCCTGAGTGCATCGCAGCTCCTCGTTGGTCTCCTTCAGAGAGTCCCTCTCTATGATGGTCCTCTAATGGACGGGAATATAAGTTCAAACCACAGTGTTCGTAACAGCAAAAGAAAATAAAGTCCTCTTGATAATTGTTCCGGACACATTTCCAAAGCTGCCTCACCTCTTTTTCTTTCATCACAGTTTCGTGCTTTTCTTCTAATTTCTTCATCTCGTAGGCCAGGTTGTCTGCTCGCCGCGACTCTTCAGACAACTTCCTGTGTAGCTCTTGGACCTGACAAACAGCAAGTGAAAACATATGTAAAGAAATTCAAATCCCGCCAGGAACACCACCACTCGTGCGCCCTTGAGTAAGGCACTCAGCCCTTAGTTAGGGAGAATGTCCCTGTAATTGGTCATTGTAAGTTGCTCTGGATAAAAAGCCTCAGCTAAATGAAATGTCAAAATAAAACAATATGCAGCAAGGGCAGCGGAAAGCAGCCACCCAGTTATCTACTATCACAACCTAAGATTTGAACCATCTATAATTGCTGTCATCTCCCTCCTGATCTGTAATAAACATAATAAGATAAAACAGTTTTGTTTTCAGGTTGATTATTATGTATCAAGATAACAAAATAATTAACTTGGGAAGTCCAGTTAGCTACAAACATTTTTAAAGCACTGTGGCTCTTGGCTCCCGCACTTTCCTAATAAATGGCAATATATATAATAACTACAATCTGTCTCCCTGCTGTTCATTTTAAATCCTGTGTGCTGTATGAGATGTATATGAAGTTAGGTGGATTGAGGGTGGAGTTTCCCATTAGTTCCCAGCCATGCTTTGCCTCACCTGTCTCTTGTACGTCTCCAGCTGTGCGCGGGCAGCGTTGGCCTTGCGCAGCTCTTCCTCCAAGCTGACCGTGTTTTGCATGTAGGTCATGTTATTCTCCTCCAGCAGCTTCATCTGCCTCTTCAGATCTCCAAGATTCTCCAGCTTACGTTTGTATGTGTCCACCGAGGCCTCCAGCGTCACCAGCCGATCTGAGCAGTTCCTACAACATATGAATACAAAAAATAAATGCATTCAATTTAAAAAAGCTACCAATGAATAGCTGATTACAACTGCTTCAGAAAGAATCATTTTTGAGTATTACATTGATGTTGCTTTTCTGGTTTCATTTGCTTGTGCTCATACAAGAGGTCCACAACATTTAAAGCAATTTATCGGCTGATTTTTGTTCAAGCCAAACAAAACACGAGCTAATTTCACTGATTAGCACTCACTCAACC